CCAAAGGGCGATTCTGTTTATGCAGTAGTAAAGCTTTCTATTCTGGCAGTGCCGCAAATACGGGGAGGAAGGTGAACGGAATGAAACACGACTAGGTAAGACAGGGGCAATCGCTTTGGTTTATATCCGGCTCGTATCTTGCGTGCTGCTACCCAAGTAATCGAATGAAGGGAATGGTCGAGCTAGATGTTTTATTCTAGACCTTTCAATTGAGTCTGCGCCCAAATGCGCAGTTGTTCTGGACACACGTTTGTGAGGGCTGATCGCTTTCTTGACGTGGTACTTTCTATGTTGCGGTTATAGCAGCTCAGCGCTTTTGCGACCGCTCGCTTCGGTACTAAGGGTGATTCTTGAATAGGCACGAGTTTAACTTGCCTAACACCTGAGTGATCCCTTTTTCACACGCAATTTAGTCGAGACACCCGTCTCTTGACGTTTCCTTATGTTTACTGCTTATGTTTACTGCTGGTCGAAAACCCACGATTTATTCGGGAAGTACAGCAGCCTAATATGGAAGTTCCTTTCGATGCCAGTGCTAGCTGCTCGGCGACCTTTGCCACACTACCTATGTACCATACCATACTTTTTTTATGCTTGGGGAAGGGGGGGGGGGGGGCAGGGTTACGATTTAAAGCATGCAATGAATCTGAAATTTGGTACTAATGATACGCCGCTTAGTATTTAGGTGTGTACCTTGTGGAGATAGGTTTGCACAATGCTTAACTACTAAGCGCAATCGTGTAGGGATGCGACGTCCTCCACTGCCGCTGCGTGCGAAGACGCTGCGGCCGGGTTCGTCGATTTCTCCGGCACGGCGCAGAAACCATGCACGAAGCAGGATAACAACAACAACGGGTTTATTAACCCAAGATGCAGCACAGTGCGACACTCACGGACTTGCAGGCCGTACAGGGTACTCCGCAAGACCGAGCAAGTACGCTTGCCTAGGGCGCAACGACTCCCGCACAAGGGCCGAAGTCAAACGCACGAACGAGAAGTCGTCTGCTGAGCAGTGTGTCAACCCCTCGTGGAGACCTGAGAGCATCTGCCGCGACGAGCGAATCGTCGGGTGCAACATAGCTCGTAGGAGAGGAGGATGTCACGCGCGGGCCAAAGGGAAATGGCGCTGCGTTGTGACGTAGGCCCGCCCAGCGTGCCAGCGTAGCGTGCCCGGACATGCCAGTGCGAGAAGGAGCTGACAGTTGACTCGCCCAGACCAAGAGGCACCCTGGCAGCCATCTTGGTGGATGCCGGTGCTTATGCGCGCGCGGCAGCTGGGGAACGAGGCACCAGGTAGGAGGGCGCTCTCGATTCCCACAACCTATGAATGGAAGCTTCCCATTAGGTGCATTTAATGAGGAGCAAGTTCTCAATGAGGAGCAATTTCTCCCAAAGTTCGGCGCTATTAGGGAAACAGAAGAGCGACGCTTTTTCCTTGTTGCTCCTGTATCCGGAGCTGCAGCCCGTCACATAGCACGTCTTAGGCATCGCTCCTTCGAATTCTCATGCCGTCGATCTTGAACGCGGAGCACTGGCCCTTGAAGTTCTCGTGACGCTGATACAGAAACTTTGTTCGAAGGAATACCGCGAGCTTTTACACAATGCCTTCGAGCTGCTGACGCTGCCAATGCGTTCCGCCGGGCAATGGCCGGGCGCAACGGAGCGATGGCCCCTTTATCCTAGCTTGCGCCGCATAGCGGCCGCTCTTGGCAGCATATAAAGCTCTCCCATATAGTGACAAAGAAGTTTCGTGACCAGAACGGTATTAAAGGACTCTGCTAGTGAATAATTCTAGGTGGTTTGTCTGACGCCATCAGGATTATTTTGCGAACGTCCTACTGCGGTGCATTTGTTCTCGTGCATTTACCTTAATTTCTCGATAAGTAGGGCACTGCTGTTGATAATATTGTCATTTTAAGCGACATATATTGAGCTGTCACTCTCATGTAAATTGTTGTTTGTCTTTAGTGTCCTTTCAAGACGAAAACCTTAAATGTCTTATCAACAATGAAAAGTGAGTGTCTGCATCAATGCAAGTGATGTAAATAATCATCATTAGTCACCATCATTCTACACCTGATCGCATGCATCATCGGGACACAAACTGACAAAATGTGTGACGTAATTGTGAAGTCATAATGGTGTCACTGTGACATTGTATATTGCACCATCAAATGATGACCTGATCATATAACATTGTCAATTGGTCTTAGATGGGCCAATAATGGAGGCAGGTGTAGTGCAGAAGTCTTTCAATACCTCCGATTCTAAATACCACCCATCCTAGAGGCAGTTCCAAAACCACACTAGGTGCAGAAATTTTTCCTAAAGTGGGAGTATCAATGCAATCAGCTGAGAAAAAAAAGTCCCAGCTTTGCCACAAAGGCGAAGCAGTGAACGTGATAGCAACCGATTGGAAGGTCATGCTAAGAATGGCAAGCAGATCGAAATGTGCCCTGCATTTCTCATGCACGAATGACGCACCAAACAGGTACGAATAAGTGTCTCAGTTGTTACTTTGCTCAGTCTGAAAAGTGTTGCCTTTTCACAAATGGAGATTGCGCAACAGTGCAGTGACCTTTGTGCACTCGGTAACTATAACAGAATCGTGCCCGTGGAAGCCCAAGGCATACTACTGTCCTCACTGCGAGATAAGCGAGCGCATGCATGAGCGTCCCCTTTCCGCGGGACAAAGTACACGTGGAAGATGAGAGCACACGCCGCCGCACCGTGACGATCTGGCGACGAGTGCTCATTGCGCCATCTCGCTGGTAATGCTGAAAACACGATAGCTTCCTTGAGATGCCCATAGCGAGCGCTAAGTGGGTAGACATAAATAGCTTGCCGTTTGAACGTTGAAGGAGGTGCTCCTTCGTGGTTCAGTGGCTAACGCCTCGCACCCACAATTCAGAGGTCGAACGTTCGATTTCGCGCGCCAGTCTTTTTCTGAATTATTTTTCTATCTTACTTTTTGATACATATAGATATGTATACATATACAGTGAATGACGGCGGCAGCAACAGCAAAAAACCAGCTGAGAATGTCCATATAATTGAGTCATCTTAGGCGAATGCATTAGCGACCATGAGTTTTTTTTTTTTTCTTTTTTTATAGTGTGTGAAGGACAGATTTTGAATGTGTCCTCTTTACAACAGTGAGGTGACCTGTGCTCCCTTGGCCATGCTCAAGATTTTATTAGTACTACTATTACATTTTGGCATGATCTCGTCAAGCTGAATTGAGGTTATCTTCCAAAAAAAAAAAACTTATAAAATTAACAGCCCAACCTTCTGTGCTCTACTTTAGATGAACTTTCACTTTCCAGCTTTTTTTTTTTTTCCTTCCTACTTTTCCACCACCAATCCACTAGTCCTCTTCAAGTTATTTCTATCAGTGACCTGTTTACCGTTTCAATGTTGCCCCTAAAACACAATGCTTCATGTAGGCTAGTGCCCCTACCCTGGTGGATATCTTCAGATTCAATTCGAACATGTTCTGTATCCTTAGCTTCCCTGCAGCAGCATGTAGATTTTTCTTCTTTACAGAATCTCGCTTTATAGCTATGCCTTAAAAGCCAACCCGACTTCACTTCAAACAGCAAGGTGCTTTACCATAAGTTACCATAAAATGCAACCTTGCTTATTTAATCTTTAGCCTTTTTGTGGTTACTCAGAGCCAGTTTTCTTATCGCTGATACCATCCAATAAACTTTTCCAGCTCTCCAACTTTTCGCTTGAAAGTGTACCGACACAATTTTGAGACATTGCAAAAGAAACATTTTTCGTTTCCTTGGTAAGCAGTGTCAACGTTTTTCCACACAACAGTGTCATCCAACACGTATAAAATCTTTCACTTTGATTTTAAAGTTTTCGTCGCTTAGTATCAGCAAGCCAGCCCCACCACAGTGAACACTAGCCTGATGAGCCAACAGGGTTCCACTGAGTTTGCGAACTCTGGTTTCTGCATGCAGCCTAAATCACTGGAGACAATGCACTCATCATTGTGTGTATCATGAGCAGATGGTAAATATGCTGCTAGCACGTCGTGAATTGCTGTCTGCCCATGTAATCACAGTGCCTTGAAACATCACAGAGAAACCACCGCGCCGATATCAAAGCTGAAAGTGTCTTTTCAAAGTAGCGGTATTAGAAATATGGGAGATGCACTCCCAGGCACCACAGCACTTGTTTAGGGCTCTCGAAACCAGTCTTCTTTAGAGCAACAATCTGAAAATTTTTTCAATTTGTGTCAGTACTCCTTCAACATTCATTGTTACCATACCCCATATCCCTTATGCTGCCAGCCATTTACTTGTTGATCAGTATATTGTTCTTTTCTTAACTGTGTGTCAACGCTCTTCCCATACAAATACCGAAACACCTTCTCTTATTATCTGCTGTCTTTCACGTTTCGTTTTCTCTTTTCGAAAGCCATTTAAGAACAGTTGAAGCCGTAACTGGCTTTAGCACCACCACACATCTGCATGCCATACAGTGAAGTATGGTCTTTACTTAGTTATTATTAGATTGCACTTGTTTACATGTAGGGTAAAAAAAAAGATTTTGTAGGTTAAAGTAGGGTACTATTTATAAACATGATGTAGGACATTTTCCAAAAATTAGTTTGTAACTATGCTGTAGCACCCTGCAGCTGCTTCACGAATATGCAGGTTTATATAGGCAAATGCAGGAGCTCAGCACTCCTTTCTTCATCTTAATGCTCCATTAGACAAAACAAATCCTAATGTCACACCAATGGCCATGAATTTAGCAAAAAAGGAAAAGCACCAGCTATAGCACTTTCTGATGCAATTTAAGCCATTAGGTACACCGCAGACAGCACAAAAAACAATTACAAAAAAGCTACCCCCCCCCCATCTGGAATCTTCACAATTTCTGTCTCTCATAAATGACACATTCTAGAGAACAGTTACAAAAGTTTCTATATAGCTCACATTACACCAGCCTGTTTAAGCAAAAACATGAAAAACATTTCTTACCCAAATATCTGCTTTCGTAGTAATTAGTCTCCCACTGTAAAGCTCCACCATTTCTGGTGCGCGGTAGGCAAGCGTTGTGTACCTGAATACAAACAGAACCATAAACAAAACTAATGAAATCATCAGCATCTTTAAGGAATAGAGTATGCTGAAATCACTTCTCGATATAATAGTAACGCAGAGTAGTGCTCAGAGTCGCAGTCTCATTAGAGATAACGATGTATGGATTTCACTAACACAAAGGCCATACCTGGTCAGAAAGTGCCAAGAAACTGAGTAATAGGTGCCAACAAAAACTACAAATGCTAATGGTAATGTAATTTGGCTGTCTAGTATCCTAAAATCAAGTCAAAGTAAAAGGAAAATGGGTAATTAAAACTGTTATGGCTGGGTATGCATGCTTAAAAATATGCGTGTAAAACAGAACAAGGATTGCCGCGCTGATGCCGAGCCACTCCAAAGACAAACACTCTTCATTCTCCTGTTCTTTCTTTGTTATCACTTTAGCATAACACTCCTTCATTCAATGACAAAGCCTGCTGGGTGAGTAACTGTTACGTGCACTCAAAGCCACAGGGATGACAGTGTTTTAGGCAGGCAAGGTGAACAAGCTGTGTCTGCCTAGAACGCTGGCTGTTAAGTAAGAAACAAGCAATCAAGTATGTGCAGGGTGTCTACCAATTTTATATTTCTAAATTCCCCGACTATTCCAGGTTTTCCATGATAATCAAAAGCAAATTCCATGACGGCCATGTCTGCATGGAAAACTCTGTGCACTGTAAACAAACCCTCGTGTGGTAAAAAAACAGGCACTCCATATAAGTAAACATATTTACCAGACACACTCAGAATGTTCTGAGCGCGTGCGGTAAATGTGAAGAAACATGTATATCTAGCTAAAATAAAACACAAAAGGCACGCAGTGAGCAAGTTGGCTGTTTACTGTTCCGAAGATCTAGGAAGCAAACAAACAAGTTAAAAGTAACCGCAGATGAAAGTTTGAAGGAGCCTGCGATAGTCCGAGATCCCAGTCAAAGCTGCTAGAAAACGTAGAAGTGATGCCATCTCATGGCATCCGTGTAAAATGAGGACACGGAAGCCTGGCCGGTTCTGCGACTGGAGTATAATCTATTTTACTATAACGGCTGCAGCCCACGCTGCTTAGGATGTGGATTGGATTGAACTAGATTGACCTGAACTGCTGTATGTACTTACTCAACTACTTAGGATGTGGATTGCATTAGATCCAATTCTACCTGGATTGCTGTATCTACTATTGATTTGCATTGCTGCCTAATTTGCACATTTCTAAATTAGTTTCCAGCAAAAAAAAAAAAAAAGAAAACTACTACGTACTTTGTGTACACAGATGACTTTGACAACGCGTAACAACAATGTTGCAAGAACAGAGCCGTAATACAAGAAAATTGTTTCTTTTTTTTTTATTGACGAGCACTTGCATGTTTGTATTTTGTTTCTGGGCTCTGATACTTTAAGTGCAATGAAAATCTTTGGACGGCTGTAATGAAAGCTGGGGACGGGGTTTAAAGTGCCCACATTTGAATCTGTTTTGGCAAGAAGGAATCTGTCAAGGTAAAACAGCTTCCTTGATTCCGCAGATAAATCACAATTGTCTGCATGTTACCTTGATTTACATACTCTGCTGTGGATGTGAAATTGAAAAATAATTGCCGATTTATTTACACAATCTCACAAAACTTAAATGAAAAATTTAGCTGAAGTTACCCAAGTGCTACCCTTGAAACACGAGCTACCAGCAATAAGTGTGTAGCTGAGGACATTCGCTATTGCATCACCAACAACAATAATAATATTAGCAATAATAATAATAATAATAATAATAATAATAATAATAATAATAATAATAATAATAATAATAATAATAATAAAAGGGCATGAGTAGCCCGGCAAGCTTCTGCTGATGGCAGTTCTAGCCTAGGCAAACATGCATAACTTTACACGTGAGTAAAATTGTGGTTCAAAAGTCGGATGTAAAAGCAACAGACGTCAAAATAGTGGATGTGCCAATATAGAAGCTAAGGAATGTTTTAGCCAATGTGAAGGAAAAGTTGCTCAGCAGAAACTTTTTTGTTCTTGTTCATGCCATAGGCTGCCACAATTGTGACAACCAATACATTGGTGAAACTGGCGATTTCAAGAAAAGAAAACACAAATATGACAGCGCGAAACGACGCATGGCATCGACTGCCCTCACTGAACACATGGAATCTACGGACCACCAAATAGACATGTAAAATTCATGTTCTGGATGCAAAAAAAAAAAAAAAAACACATCCTCCCACGGGGGGACTCGAGTAAATGTGTTGCGGAGTGGTATGAGTATCACATGAATGTTGCGTGATTGGGTATAAAGTTTGAAAATTCTTAATTGTTATTTTGTCTTTATTACCGTATTTACTTACATAATTTGTGCACTTTTTTCACGATTTTGGGGCTTCAAAATTTAATTAAATCCCTGCGTTACACGGGGATTTCGCCACCACAAACGAAATATTGTGCCATAGTCCTAACATGCATAGAATATACATTTATAAAAAAAGAAGAAATAAATTGGAGCACGAACGAAGTGTAATTGTTAATTTTTAAAGAATTAGCCCGTACTTTACCCAGTCAGATCCTGTCGCGCACGGTCTAGCGAGAATCGATGATCGCGAAGTCCGGTTGGGAATCATCGTATTTTCTTGAAGCTTTTTCAACAATGCTGAGAGAAACTAGGCCTGGCGACACGAAATTACCGAAACTAAGCATTCACACATAATAGAAAAAGCCTCACGCAATGGCAGGAACTTGCATTAGAAGCGCACACTTTTCTGCTTTTCAGCAAACCGATCGCACCGGTCGTCGAGTTGAAGTACGTAACGGCATGCTTCCCATTTTCCTCGGCGAAATTCACAACAGCAAGCTTCAATTTCGCCGTATATATAACTACTGCAGCACATCGCAAGAGAACCATCAAAACACGTCAGCCAGATGGCGAAACTTAGACTTCCGAAATTTAGCAAGCGTACATTGCAGCGCAGACACAGGGAACGAGGGGAACAGTCGGCGTGACAGGCCCTCACACGCCTCAGATGCAGAAAGTCGTGCGTTCCGTGACGTGAGCGTGCATTCTCGCCATCATCGCGGTAGTAGAGATTGGGAGATAGGGGGAGGCAAACGCTCAAACAGTTCCGGCGATTTGTCAACGGGTTCGGGTGCGGTATTCTAGGGACAGGGACCCTAGTTCGGGGAAGTCCTCGGAAGCAGAGACCTCGCACTGGAAGCCTGTCTGACCGCGCTCGTCTGCTCGGCGAGGCGCGCACCCGGCCGAAGCATAGAAAGGTCCAAAGGAGCGCGCAAATGGCGAGCTGGCTCGGGCAGGTCGGGGAGCGCGAAATGGGCGAGTAAATTTTTTCCCCACGAAAATCTGGAAAAATATAAAGGATGCGCAAGTTATGCAAGGGCACAAATCATGCACATAAATACAACATTCGTATTTATTGAACGAAGGAGAAGTGTTGCCTTTAACGAGTGGTGGCATACAGGCTGTGCCCCACTACTGGTTAAAGGTACTGCTACTTCTCTCGCATCAACTCGGGTCAAGCAAAGCGTCAAGTCAAGCGAAAGCCAAATAAAGACGCCCTTGACTGAATACAAAATGTCCAATCTAGTGCCTACATATACGGGGTGGTCAGTGAACAGTTGTGCAGCGCGAGCAGTCGGTTTTTCCTAGCAGACGCTGCCTACAGCGGCCTTGCGAGGCGAGAGAGTTGGTGGAGTGACAGCACGAGACGCAAGCATGCGCATTAGGAATGTAGACACCACCGCCGACGCCGGATTTGCGAGTAGGTGCGACTATAAAATGCTCTGCATTTAAAAGAAGCATGCATCATGCCTGAACCTGGAATCCAGATACAGTACATTACACTGAACAGGAGTGATAGGACGCTTCTGATCATGTACTCTCGCTGCTTAAGTCATGTATTCAGGCGTAAGAGTACGCTGTGCATTCTTTATGGCTTTTACTGTGAACAAGGCTCCCTCCCATATAAGGTGCTGAAAAGTCAGTAAACTGTTTTCTTTGAATCGGCGTATCCTTTCACGTTTACACTAAGAAGCAAGAGTTATGCCCTGTCTTTTTTATTCACACGCCTTCTAGCAGCTCACTGTAGTTGCAGCTGAGGGAGAGACTTTTTAAGCTTTGATCAATGGTAATGCTTATTTTTGTGACGTTCGCACAGAGCTGCTGTCAGTTTCCATGACCTGGCCAAGTTTTTCAGAAATTCCCTGACTTTTCCATGACTTTTCCAGAAGGGTCTAAATTCCCCGACTTTTTCAGGTTTTTCAGGTTGGTAGACACCCTAATGTGATATCACTTAGGCAATTGATGATTATAAAAGGGCCAGTGTAATGAGCCTGAAACTTTCAGCAAAGGACACACTTGTGTAGTGGTGTCCAAAGTCACACTGTGTCCCATTTGTTGTACAATACACCTTTGTACCGTGAATTATACATAGCTGATCTTCGAGTAGTCCTGGGATGCAACCTCATGCTTCTTCAGTAGAACAGATAGTCTGGGAAACAGAAGATTCTGCGTGAGCAGTGAAATGCAGAATGATGTCGAGGAAGCTGGGGGTGGTTCAACATCGAGATAGAAGGGGCTGTAGCCAACAGTTTCAAGTTTGTTGTGTTGTAGGCATATGTGTTAAAGTAAGATGTCATCCCAATTTTTGTGCTTGGAACTGTATACATGAAAAAAATATTTGTCGAAATTCTGTTCATGCACCTGATGAGACCACTTGTCAGCTGGTGAAGCAGGGTCTCATGGAGACAGACAATCTGAGAGATGTAAGAGCTCTGCAACTAGGCCAGCCATGAACTGGCAATTACAATCACTCACAATTATATGAGGGGGTCCATGATGCAGCATAATGGAAGACAGGAGGAAGCTCACAATAGCCGTTGGCATCGCTGTGGTTTCAGCATAACGCACAAGACGGTCAACACAGACCACAGCACAATGGTTGTTACTGCTGAGTGCAGGAATAGGCTGAGAGAGTTCACTCCAGCCAGTTTAAAAAGAAACGAGGGTGGTGTCAAAAGGTGAAAGTACCCAACTGAAGCTGAATTAGAACACTTGTCACAACTGGCCCCATACTTTTCTATATTCTATTGTGTTTTAGGCCAGTAGAATCTAACCTGAATGCAGTAGTTTGTTCTGCTGAAACGCATGTGCTTAGTGGCTGCGCCATCATGCTTAGCACACAGCACATGTCTTCTCAAATGCTCGGGAGGCAGGCTCCATCAGCCGTGCAATCCTTTTTGTAGTGCAGTCATGTTGGATAACAAAATCTTTCTTACGTGCAGGCTGAGCACTTGAATCAATGAGCGCATCAAGGCTGAGGTCACTGTACTGTTACTGCAGAAAAGTGGTCAGGTTGGAAAAAAGTGTCACTGATGGCTGCCAGGGACTTGTCAAAATTGTCAGCATCACAAGCAGTTGTTGTTGCAAGAGGGAGCAATCTTGAAAGACAGTTGGTGGCCGCATGATGACAGTCGCTTTTGTAATGCATTGAAAATCAAATTCTTGTAGATCCTGCATCCACCGAGTAAGGCGGCCAGACGAGCCGCGAGCACCAGTTAACTAACATAGTGATTGGTGATAAGTACGCTTGCGTAAAGAGTGAATTTCAAGTACGAAGTGAATTCAAGGCAAATTGTGATTTTGGTCAAATAATTTCAAATCTAATTCGAATTGTATATATCATCCATTATAAAAGAAAATTGGCATATTTGTTATAACCTAACTAACCTGCACAGTATTTTTCAAAAAGTGAAACAACTTAGAATGGTAGCAAGATTTGACTTTCTGTAGAATGCCTTTAATACCCTGCAAATTATGTTCATTTTAAACTTATACTTATAACATATAAGCCAGTGTAACGTGCTTTTAAACATTTAAAATGACGAATCAATTTGAGGGTCTGATGTTCATTTAACCTTCAAGTAAAGCTTTGTGGCAGTGCTTCGTGGCAGTGCTAAGATTCGTGGCAGTGCTAACAGCTTTGCACACCTCCACTGCAGTGAAACCACCTTTACAAAATGGGGTTATCTGCGGATAAATAGAAAACTATTCATTCATTTCGAATACTTCAAAGTTTTCAACAGTTTAAATTCGAGTCAAAGCGAATTCGAATACTGTAACATTCGTTCAAATATTCGAAGCATTCATATATTCACACAAGCTTAGTGATATGCAACCAAATCGGCACCCATAAGAATATGGGCAAAACTTGCAGACAGTGAGAACTACAATGAGGGAATCATGTTGTATGACTGCAATTTTGTTCAGGCTCACTCAATGAATAGCTGGTGTACGCAATGGCATGCTCAGCAACACCAAAATGCTTGATGAGGACGGCACCCAGGCCAATTCCATTTGTGTCACTGCGTAACGCTGTTGTGGCAGAGGGGTACACAATCTGCTGTCCAGGTGAAAGGCCGTGCGCAACAATGTCATAGGGTAGGCAGCATCAGCAAAGTTTGGCACAAAAGATTAAAAGTACACATTAACGCCTAAAAAACTCAGTTTGCATTAGGACCACAATTGTTTGAAATTGCTGAATGTAGTGACCTTGTGTGGGTTTGGTAGCACACTGCATTTTTCCACTTGATATCCAAATACTACATACTCTTACTGGCAAGAGTGAGATCTCTCTGAATTGATGCTAAGGACAGCTTGTTCAAGGCACGTCGAGACATAGCCAAAATGGCAATGATGGTATGCACAAGCAGATGGGCTACGGAGTGGTGATATATTAAAAGTTGTCGGCAAGACTACTGCCATTTACTCTGCCAGACAACCACACAAACACAATGAAAGACCCAAAAAAACTTAGCGAAAAAAATGCAAAAACTTGCCACTGACCTTGCGAAATCTTCCTGCCTACAGTTTGTGCAGTGCTTGGTTACACAATCCCCAGTAACTCTTGCTACTACTTGCATCATAACGTATTATTTCAGCTGCCACAGCCGATCTTGAACAACCGTTGCATAATAATATGAATGCTTTGGCTAACTTACTTGAGGATTTCTTCCTCGACTGCTGCTACTCCCTGCACCTGAGGATTCAGGCTCTTGGCAGTGGCACTTCCAAAGTCGCACAATACATAGTGGCCAGCATCACTGATTAGAATGTTCTCCACCTGAAATCGCAGAAGCTACATGAAGCCACATTTTATAACATGACTTTTAGGTATTGTATGAGGGCATTCAACTTATTTTTCTCATTTGTGTCCTTTGAATACTTGAAATACAGATTCAAATAATTAATTTAATACATTGCTAGCTAGAACAATCTTAAAGTAACAGCCGATTTGACACGTGTGTTAATAAGAGAATAAGTAAAAATAAACTAAAAAAAGATGTTGACCTATTGACCTGCAAGAAGTATTGGAAAAAAAAATAGAGATAACATGCAGCCATATTTGTTTTTGTACTCACAAAGCCCAGCGAAACTGCGTACAGTAACTATTAACTAAAGAGATAAAATTTTCCTGAAAAGCTATACAAAAACTAAACCTGAACCCAACTCGCAAATCTGCAAAGTATAATTGTATTACTCAGTAACTGAAGGGCTCACTAACCAATAAATATTTGTGTGCCTCAAAAGCAGAGAGTCACCTGGTTTCACTGAACTAAACTTTGGCCCTTTTCAAAATCTTTTCCATCTCATGCATTTCTTACATTGTTTGCATGCTCCCTTAGCCTGTCATTGCTGTAAACCACATTATTAGCTGTAAACCACAAGCCATGAACCAGCAGCCTTGTCAACTTCCACATCATCTGAAGCAGCCAAATACCTTTTCTGTCTTGTTAGTTGCCTGCCAGCGGAAGTGTCGTCACCTAAACATATCGGCAAATTGACATTTTTGCGCCCTAAAGAAAAACATCAATTCAAATCTCAAAGCACTTATATTCTTTTCACCCTGAGCTCCAACTTGTGCCGCCCTGCCACGGTGGTCTAGTGGCTAAGGTACTCGGCTGCTGACCCGCAGGTTGCGGGATCAAATCCCGGCTGTGGCGGCTGCATTTCCAATGGAGGCGGAAATGTCGTAGGCCCGTGTACTCAGATTTGGGTGCACGTTAAAGAACCCCAGGTGGTCTAAATTTCCGGAGCCCTCCACTACGGCGTCTCTCAGAATCATATAGTGGTTTTGGGACGTTAAACCCCCCAAATCATCATCATCCAACTTGTGCCACAGTTCTTATTTCTGTCTAGTTAAACCATTCACTATACTGCTAAAATAACAAATTATATATTGTTAAACAAGTTTATTCTCTTGATTCAACCCTCTCCACACTAAAATAGAGCTTTACTTGAGTAGGTAACTGTGTATCAGCCTCTCTAAAGCTCCTGCCTGAAAAATTTCTGTTAATTGATACAAGAACAATGTACTGTAAGCAATGAACAAACACCCCAAGGTAACCATGATGAGCAATGAAAATGGTTTACTAGTGCTAAGTCACTACTGCAATTTTAACACAAGCAGGGTCTCCATGTTTCTACAGTTATACCTTGATATAAAGAAGCTAGTAATCAGAACTTGGCTTTTGTTATATAAAAACTGATGTTTAAAATTCAACCTTCATTTGGGAATAATAGTCACAGACTGATTGCTTTTCACATAAAATTGGCTGCAATAACTTCAAAAATAATACCGCAGCACCCCCCCCCCCCCCCCCCCCCAAAAGGAACATCAATAACACAGCGTGAAAAAATATCTATTGGTTGATGAAGCTCCAATTAAGCACTTTCATATGGCACATGAAAGCTGAAAGAAAAAAGCATGTCCAATGCACTGCGGTAATCAACATGAGCAAAGCTTTCCCGCATATTCCACCATTGCACCTTAACAAGATGAGTGCAGGTGTCATCCAAAGTTGTATTATAGTCAATGCTTTGTTAACTAAACTGAACCACCGCTCTCAACCTGTTCTAATAAAAGCACCACCGGCACCTGTTGGACACCACCAGAAGGGGTTTGCTTTGAAATCACAAAGAATCTAGCCAACATTGTGACTGCTGTTTACAGCTCCCACAATTTTTAACGCCGATTTAGAGCTTGTTCGTATAAATCTCAGGGCCAGTATCGGCAGCATGTTTGGTTGCGAGCGAAAATGCCATATTCGTCCATGAAAAATACTTTGAGGTAAATCGATTGAGAGTCAGTCCCCCGACTGGTGCTAATACGTCCAAGTCGTATTCTCAGCACCAGACAAGGTATCTAAGCTCTGTAGAATGACTGACCCAGAGGCAAAGACGCTGCAAATCTGTGGCGTAAAGCACAGGCGGCCATTTGTTGATTGCACAGAAAGGGTGGTTTACGGAATTCCTTTAGCGTGCAAAAAAGTGTATTTGGCCAAACTGGAAGATGCATCAATGACAGGCTAAGGGAGCATGCAAACAATGTAAGAAACGCATGAGATGGAAAGGATTTTGAAAGTTTCTTAACTACAATGCTTCAGTCATTAACAGCAGCAAAATGCGGATCATCCGAGAAATTGTCAAAGGAGAACCCATTGCCCATCTGGGGGCAGGTTTGCATTAGTGTGGCTACAACTTACTCATAAGGTAATGAGATGGTGTATCCACGCATGTGCAGTGGGTGAACTCGGCATCAGAAAGCATAAATATACGTGCAATTTTTCAATAAAGGTTTTCGAAAGTTCAGCACACGTCATCATCATTTTTGTTCCTTTCATCCATTGTGTATTTTTGCATTGTAGGGTGCCATAAATGTTGGGTGTAATGCTCTTACTACTCTGAAAACACTTAGTTGCTGTAAAAACATCTGTTCTTGTTTGCCTTTGCTTGACATTAGTCTTTTTTTTTTTTTAGCGAAACATCGCAGAAAGCGAGCACTGAGGCATCTAGAAACAAGAAACGACTTTCTATTTTTCTTTACCTACGGTTATCGCTTGCTATATACTAGCCTTCTCGACGACGCCCTTTATTTCTTAAGATAGGCAAACAGGCACTGTAAGTAGTACTACCACCCGTATGGCTACTTATGCTACTCACTTGCCACACGGTGGGGGAAAGGGGGAGGGCTTTGATGAAAGGCAAATGCAGAATACAGAACTATGCCGAGTAGAGTCTACGATACAATTCACAAATACATATGCCCTCCTAGTGCCGCTGATTAACATCGCACTCACTAGCTTAGGCATCAGAGATCTGGTGATGTTAGCAGTAGCCAGCTAACTTTACTACTGCAAAAATAGACATTCCTCTCACAGCCTCCATACTCATACACTGGTATGCAAAGGGGTACTGAGGCCATGGTACACTTCCAACAGCAACACAGTGGTATGGCATGGGTGAATTAACAATATCATAATTAATCCAATCATTTGACAAATAGTGCCTGCAGCTGCTTAAACGTGTTGCCCCAGCTGTCTACAGGAAGAGCAGCCAACTTTGTCATATTGAAAATAGAGACAAACACAATTCGTTATATTGAGGCTAAAAATAATGGCATTTTAAGAATTTTTATCTTGTATAAATTGAAGTCCTTTGTTAAACCAAGAACTTCATTATATCAGGATTTACAAATCATTAAATATTCAACTGTATGAATAAGCACCTATGTTAAGATGACAAGGCATGGGAACAATTAATTTCAGTGCTACCACTGATTCATGTTATACGAAGATTCCAACTGAAGTAACACACTTATATTTCATGAATTAGATATTGTCTTTGCATGTGAAGAAATTTTGAATATAAACAGTGCACAATGCTAGAATTATTGCATAAATATTGTGTCAGACAATAAGAAAATTAACATTATGCACTGGCCTGCTCCAAATTCTTTGATAAAATATTAATGCCAAATGGAAATAAGTAACTGAAATATGCTGGTACATTCTGATGGTGTCAACTGAGTTTGACAGTTTATGACATTTTAACCCTTTGAGTGTCGAATTGGAGAAAAGCTTTTCCAGGTGGTCATATTTACTTTACTGCTGTTTTTTAATGTATGATTTGTATGAAGTCAGAAAAAAAAAAGATTGTAAGAAAGTGATGAACCATTTTTTCAGTGTCAGCAATGCTCAGAACTGCAAAACATTTAAAAGTATTTCAGAGCGTGGTATTTATTAAAACACAGGTCGACGCATGGCACCTTATCGCCATCTGCCCACCTAACACATGTCTCTTCTAGGAGCAACGACTTGTACTGGCAACCCCACGCCATCTTCTATGCGTATGGCTACATTAGGCAGAGTTAGCTTGATAATGAAGGAGAACGAGAATATGAAAGTCGGTGATAAACAAGCCAAGAGCAGTGCCAATAAAAATAAAAATCAACTTCCATCACCCCTACAATGGATTGACGACAAAGATAAAAGTGAAGTTTCACATGGCTCCATTGTGACCGCGTGGCGAAACTGAAGCAATCAAGGGTGTTGCTGCAAACCATGTGACGTGCCGACGTGAGAAATAAGTTCTGTTCATCTCCACAAGAAGGCACCACCATGAGAAGGTAGCGCAAGAAGGTAGCTAACACTTCTTGCAAGTCCTAGAAAGTGGCAGCACCTCCCAGTGTACATGTATCGTCATGTGGCAAGATATTTCTAGCGAAAAGTGGAAAACATACACGTACAGCAAAGACACTGCAAGCCAGAAAACTACCCTTACACATGTACGGCACAAGGGGTTAAAAAAGGCAGACTACTGCGCCACGCAACGCACGAGCCACCCCCACACAGAAACGGCTGCTGCGCCGCACGGAAGTGATGCATGCACTTTTCCGGTTAGGCGCTTCGTTTGAATAGTCTGAGTGTTTAGCGGTATGCCTAGACGTAACGATAGAAGCTGGAAAGGATACGTCCAAACATAAAAGTAAAAAAAATGTTAAGGCCAGCGTGACAATACAAAACCGGCTCGTTAATGAATTTCGAACCAATCGGCACCTGTGGCGTAGTCGATTAGAGCGAAAAATTAAGAACAAGTGAGGGCAGTGGTTCGAACCCCATTACAGTCTTTGTTATTTTTTTATTTTTTGTTTGTGTATGTATTGTTTTGACATTTGCGCCTCCTCATCGGCCTCCCGTCAGCATGACTTGCTGGTGGTCCTGTCCACAGGCCCTTTAATATTGGATGTTTGATGACTCTCGCAGCATTGGTTATATTTATTATGAGAAAGTGTTTTGTGAAGTATAGCTCTTAATTGGCAAGATGCAAAAAAGACACGAAAAATTCAGATGCAACTGGCTGCATTGGTTTCTCCGGCACACGCATCAGGAATATTGATTTCCGCAGTTTATCAAAGTTTTCATGACAGAAAGAGGCACTGCAACGTAGTCTCAGGAAACTTTTTTTGTCGCTCAGTGTACCATCACCTGACAAGGTAACCGGCAGGCCGCTTCAAAACACTGACGTGCCACCGCAATGCTCTAGGCGATCAGCACTTGATAAACGATGCCCAAGGGGAAGTGCCGACGGCGTTGGCCTATCTAACTACTAAACAGCTTGTCTGCCTTGCTGAATAGCATGCACAGCCTGTGACAGCACCAGATCATTTACGTAGCAACAAATGAAAACGGCCATACGTGTTCACATTAACAAAAAAGCTGGCAATGCAGTAGCTTTGGCCTTCGGTGATCACAGGCTTCGTACAAACACTACAATAAAGTTTCTTTCATCCTTCGTAAGAACACTTCGCAGACGCACTGGGGTTTCATGCATGTGCGTCCAGTCAGTCCCACGTGAACTGTGCAAAAACATTTATTTCATCGTCGACCTTGCCCTTCGCGACCAGCAAAACTCGGCAGCAAGGACAATTTCACCTTTGATAACACTACGCTTGGCATTGCAATCTGGAAAATGCAATACGTCCAACAACAATAATCAGCACTTTATACTGAGAAACTTTACGGCGCACACACTCAGATGAAGCTGCGGCGCGGTGGGCGGCCGCGCTAGCACCAACCTCCAGGTTCAACTGGGCATCCAGCAATCACATGAAGCAGCGACGACACAGGGTCTCCAGTCCTCCTTGGGGGCGGCCTAGGCCATGGCCACGATTTTGTCGGAGTTTTCACCACTAACACACATTACAGGCAGCTACCATCTCACACTGTTTACCTTTCGCAGCTGCAGCGCCCATGGTGCCCCCTGTATTTAAAATACTTGTAATATGTGTTCAATTAACAAACATAGGCTGACTGACTAGCCAAACACCTGCTTAGTAAAATTTTTGTAGGTTTAATGCATTACACATCAATAATTTATACATTTAAATAGCTTTAGATAATAATTTTAAAGGTGACGTCACTTCCATGCGGCGCAGGAGCCACTTCTGTGTGGGGCTGGCTGCTGCGCCGTGCGGCGCAGGAAACGATACTTATCCGTACCAAATCATATAGCTGGAAATTTGTTGTGCGCTTTAACAGCTGTTTCCAGAGCCACTTTCAAAGAAAAAACATGCCACCGTAATGATAAAAGCAAGAGCTTCAACACTCAGTATGACAACCTCCCCAATAAGCCTACGGTTTGACTTCCAGACCACGACAAATCTTTTTGTCAAATGGGAAGTCAAAGGAATCTCCATACCATATTATTCCAAGAAGCAAGTGCCTCTTCATTTTTTTTTTAGAATATTTAAATATGCACAAATGACCGAACAAACGCATCTATATCTGTTCACCACTACAGGATCTTGCAGCAGCAGTTCCTAGAAACCCAAGCTTGGAGAGTCTTCAGATATACGAATGATTTCATAATGAGTTTATACTGTCATACTTGTGGTTGCATTCAGAGTTGCCACAAATTGTCAGAATGTTTGCAGAACATCTTTACAGGAAAGATTTCAGGAAAGGATTCCCTCGGATTCAGTAAGAACAACTAATGCATGCGTATTCAATAAAGGGTTTCATTAGAAGCACAGGCATGCATTCTTCTGCGGCTCTTCTACCTCCATCTTGAATTTTGATCCACAACAAAGCAAAACCTCACCATTCCAATCTTGTCCAATCATCTTTTACCGTACAGGCAGGGCTGCACTTGCTTGGGAATGTACGGTAATTTTCTGGTAGCTTCATGTCACAAATGGGTATACGACAATAACTCCCTTTCATAAACGTTCCTCTACCTTGCGGGCTCTCATAAAATTGACTTGCCATGTACAGCGTGAATACACTCAAGCCTTGTTATAACGAAATCGCATCTGACACGAAAGTAAGTTAGTTATATCTGAAAATTCGTTATAAGGGTATATTCCTAATTCTTAACACTGTGCTTATTGCAAGACTACTTTTCAATTACTTTATTATAACCTTTATTCTGTTATATCTATATCTATGTTTGGGTGTAACACACAACTCTAGAGCTTACAGTTTTCTTATTGAAGGTCATTAAGCTGCTTAGCTAGTAAGCCAATTCATAGAGACATAAGGGAGGGGGAGGTTTCAAAAACAAGGGAAGAAAAAAAATATTTGCACTTTGGCAGAGATCTAGTTCTTGCATGCTTGAATAAGTCAATTTTTATGCAGACTTGCAGTACTTGCCTAATATTTAGACATCACCATCTAATATTTAACAACCCAGCAATGCCAAACATTAATCAACTTAGTGTTTAGCATTACTCAACAGAGCCCCAAGACCAAAGCTGCATGATAATAATGCTAATGATTAGAGAACAGAGAGATAACAAGGTGAGGCGACTTGATTGCTGAGATGTAAGCAAGACAGTAAAAACTACCTTGAGGTCCCTGTGCACAATGGGTGTTTGACAATGGTGCAGCCTTGACACAGCTTCACAAATGTCGCAGAAGATTTTGAGAACTTCTTGCTCTGTGAATCCTGAGTGGAGCTTGTCATTCATCAGCTGCAGCACATGTCCTGCACAAAATGCACTATCTTTTCACAAACAGATTGCACAACCTTGACATGTCCATTGAAGAAACAGAGCAAGAAAGTACTGAAGTGAATAGGTATTCAATTTTATATAATGATCAAACTGCCTACATTATTTAGTTTGTGTGCAGAAATATGAACAGTGAAATGTTTGAATACTCAGTAAGGTCAAATATGATGTAGCTGTGCTAGTCAAGATTGCACAGAGCTTCACACAGAGAGCTTCATGCAAATGGACCTACTCAATGAAGAGTCAAATGGTCAATTTTGCTTCAAATGTCCACTACTAAAGAGAATATTGCACTTGAATTTCTTCGTGCAGATGGACCTACTCCATCAAGAGTCAAATGGTCAATTTTGCTTCAAATGTCCACTACTAAAGAGAACATGGCACTTGAGTTTTTGTTTTTATTTTAACTTTTTCGTCGATTTAGACGAAATTTGGTGAGTTTATATTTGTGAGCTGATTTTAAATATGCAATCACTTTTTCTAGTAGAATGTGTAAATTTTAAAATATGGAATATTACATGTGCCTTTTGTTCAGCAAGAATTTTCTAAATAGAGAGGTATAGAGTAAATCAGCATAACAAAATAACCTGAAATCAGTACTCTGTGCAGTGCAACTTAAAATGCACGTTTTAAACTTACTAGAATAAATTTACGGTATGCTCAACATTTGCGAGTGAAACCCTAGCTTAGAATTGATTCGACTCATAAATGTTCAACATACCATCATTTTTGTTCAAATGAGTCTAGAACATCCATTGCTGTTGCACTGCAAACAGTTTTGATTCCAGATTATTGTGATATGCTGGTCATTTTGTAATGCTCTCAGTTTTATAAAGGTATTGCTCCCCAAAAAGTGAATGAAATATATTCTATTTTAAAAGTACACATTATACAAGAAAAAATTTTTGCATATTTGACATCAGCCTACAAATATATATAAACACACCTAGTTTTATCAAAATCAATTATAAAAAAATGGTTTTATAAACGAAGTCTCGCCGTATATAAAGAAATAGCCCTGTCAAGCTCATAGCCAGACCTTCATTATTCAAGAATAACACCCATTTTTATTAATTATTTACAGTCAAAAACCCCCTCCCCCCCCAAAATTTAAAACCCCGCCCCCCCCCCCCCCCCCCCCATTGAATGTGTTCACCGAGCTCGTGCAAGCGCAGCATGTGTAATCTTGTCAACAGGTGCTAGACAAGATTACAAAATCAATATATTGAATCAAGGGTAAATAATGTTCAGATGTTTATTAAAGGTAGTTTTACCATTATGGTAACATTTAACGTACAACGCGATAGTGGAAGCAATTTATGTAGCTATATCCTCTTTCCCAGACTCCGACTTTACACTAGCGCCTCCTATCAGCCAGGTTTACAACTGCTCGCTGTTTCGGTGAAGCGCATTACAGTAGCACTCACTAGTAGTAGAGTACACTCGCACACATTGAACACCAGGTTAGGGAGAGCATTTTCAAACCCATTTTCCTTTCTTAGGAAGCACCACATTTCTCTGTTAATAGCCGACAAAGTTGAAGCCCAAAGGGCAGCCAACGTAAAAGTATTGACGTGAAGGTGCAGCTTCGAATTGCTCGTCGTCTGATCTTTTTCAATAGCAAGCTTGAGCCGCTTCAATTGGTTCTGATGCTTTATTCGCAACTGCTGGAGTGTAACAAACATTCATTTGCATTTATCATTCATCGCAGTCATAAGTTCCTGATTGCTGTCCTGGTAAAAAATAATTGCTGACTGCAAGCTGTGAGCGGCCTTGAAGAGACACTAAAGTCAGACAACAATTTATGTGAGAGTGAAAGCTCAATGTATGACAACACGTAAAACAACAATATTATCAAAAACAGTGCCCTACTTACAGAGAATTTAGGCTAAATGCACAAGAATACAAGCCCCGCAGTAGGACATTCTCAAAATGATACCGATGACGTCACACGAACCGTCTACAATTAATCACTAGTAATCGATCTAGCTGTACTAAATAAAGAACCTTCCGTGCATCAAGAGACGCAATAAAATGCTGCTGGTTCATTTCTGTTTAATTCATGGAAAAAAGAACCGCTGGAAGTTATTATGGGGAATGATGCGAGTGGTTCAAGAATTCAATTTTCGCGTGGTTACACTGGACAGGTTGTGCCATTCAGCGGGGCGCAGTTGAACCAAAATACGTCTGCCATCTCGAAGCCAATGGCAGGAAATTGATTAATAGCTGTTGTTGCTACTGTGGCTCCCGCTGCTTTCATTCCGTCTACTAGTGTCTGCGACCCAAGAGTAAAGCCGGGCAACGTTGTGCACGGCATCAGCGACGTGAGTCGGTCGGTCCGCTTCTAGAGACGGGTAATTTGAAGTGCGCTAACCCCATGCGGGCAACTAAAATGCGATTTTATTTCGAAATAAGCCCTTTTTGGCACAAAAGTAACACTATGAGGTTTCTGGGCCGCTATTTCCACAATCGACGTCGACTTAACAGTTGCTTTTATTGCTATTTAAGCTGGTGTTGCTTTGGTTATGTATGAGGATATTTTTTTGTACTGATCCTGTTTTATCGTGTTTCAGTACATTTTGAATCTGTCGGAAAATGTTACATAATATAAATGTGTGATTTGTCCCTTTTCAGTATCATTAGCAGCCTGCCAACAAACACTGACATCAATTACAAATGTCATTTCACATAGCCATATAGATCTGGAATGCGAGATCGCAATGACATTCTTTATGAAGTCATTCACAGCTATGACAGTACATGTGCAGTGTGACAGAGGTATTACACCTCTGCCTAGCCAAACTTCTCATTCACTAGATTTTTAGACACAAGCCGCATAACATGTTTTCATAAATAAATAAAAGTTTGCAAACAGTACAGCTTCAACTGCAGCTCTTCCTGGTGCACTTCATCGAAGTGATATTACAAAATTACACTTTTGAACACCATAAACAGATTGCCATAATACACTTTTGTAAAGTATTTAGAGTACACAGTGACTCAATTATATTTTGCACAAGGCAGCAAACACTGGCACACACAGGACGATTACATATGAAGTTCAACTTTGCCATTTGGCTGCAGAAGAGTACCACAAGAAGGTTCCTTTGTCACCCTTTAACCAGACCTCTCAATTGAAAAGGATGTTTCATTAAGACATTTCTTGATGGGCTATTCTCTGTAACATCTCACTTGAATATCTCAGACTGCGATCTATAAAACATTACAAACAGTTTATACAATGTCTTCTCCAAAATATCCTCGCTATAAAAAAAACTTGATCACATTACATGCTCTGCTGAAGTAGATGAAACATCACACCAGAAGACAAATATTACTCTAAAAGTTTATTTATGTATAGCACTCCACAACTTTACCTATCACCCTGAAGCCTAAATGCTTTTGGTGCCTCTTGCACACATCCAAATTCTTGTCAAGTCTTCAATGCAGAATCAACAGCACAATCGCAAGCAGCCCCAATTCAAAACAGTGCCTATTGACACGTGCGTTTTCCAAATACTGTATCAACATGTCCTGTATGTCTGTGAGAGCAAGTCAAACATACAGACAACACTCAATTTGAAAGTGGCCTTCTACTTGCAAAATTTCTGATTAAAACGTATCTTAAAATTGCTTGGTTCACTATGACAGAAAACTACACCAGAGAGCATAAGGAACAAGAATAGAGAACGCAATGAGACAAGGCACTGGTGCTCATACCAGTGTCTTCCTCCTCTTCCTCCAGAGATCGTTTACCCACTTAGCAAAGTCTTCATTTTTGAAACGCTTATAAAACTGCAGCTGCCAGATAAATGGCATTTTCTTCTTTTAGACATCACCATTTAAAAATACCTTGCATTGATACCACAACAATTGGGTCAATAAACCATTATGATACCAAGCTATGCCTCTCTATGGACCTTGGCAAGCCTAGCACATTAGCCCGAGCCCAAAATTTGTGGCCACGCTATACTGGGCATTATGCGACACCGGAAGAGCAAGAGTGACATTGCCACCAAGAAATGATTGAAATTTCATGAACACAGCGTGTTGCTGGAGCAAACATTTTCTTTCCAAGATGGCAAGAAGACAAGTCAACTTTTATAAATGTTGGCTCCAGCGACACCCTGAGTTCCAAGGACTTTTCATTGATACGAAATTCGATCTTCCCCTGAACCCCTACATCAAGAAAGAGTGAGAAAAAACTGTCCATAAGACCTTCCAGGCAAAAATAACTAATGAATGGCAGTGCATCCATTGCTCCACTTTTCAGCTGGTGAGGAAAAGCAAGGGTTTAAGAAAGAAAAAAAGAAATCATGTGAGCCACAATCCTCTTATAGTTTAGCAAATAATTTAGCAGAAAAAAGCATCTGCTCACAACTTTGACAATATTCACTAAGGCTAGCAAGCTTCTTTACTAAAAAGTGACACTGTTTTGAATAGAAAATACTGATCTTTATTAAAAGGGCTAGTGACAAAAATATTGTCCTCGCGTTTTTGTGCTGAAATGTATTGCTAGAGGCCTGTTAGTCATAACACAGCACATCATTTGCTGCAGTAGGCGACCGATAATTACAAGCTCCTCATAACTGACCAGACTCGGTTTCAATTTGAGAGAGCTTCAAAAACGACAAGCCACTGAGTGCAACTATCACCACCTAGCATGTGCAACTTTCAATCGCGTCAGCACACTGCGACACAGTTCCACAATGACTGCCTCAAGAAGACTTTTTGAACAGAAAATCCGACAGTAGTGTCGCCAAACACGAAACTTTTAACGCGTGCGCCACAGTCACAGACTCTCGAGCACCATGAGAGGGACACTTTGAAATGATCCCAATGACACCACAGAGCCCGACTACAATTATTCACTGGTAATCAAACCATCTGCCGTAAAAAAATGAACCTTCCATGCATTACAACACATGATAAAGTGCTGCTTGTCCCTTTCTCTTTGGACGTTAAAGAACACCAGATGGTCAAAATTTCCGGAGCCCTCCACTACAGTGTCTCTCATAATCATATTATAGTTTTAGGGCATTAAACCCCAGATATTATTACGATTTGTTTGATTTATAAAAAAGGATCCATCTGGCATTACAATGGGGAGCGGCACGAATATTTCAAAAGTTCAGTTTTCGATAGTGCCATCTGGCAGGGCCTAGTTGAACTACGCAAGCCGAAAATTTCTCAATAGCCTTTGTTGCTGCTGTGGCCCCCATCACTTTCGCTCTGCTACTGCTAGTGTTGGCCGCCTTGCAGCAAAGGTGAGCAACGTTGGGCAAGGCAACTGCTATGTCACGAGGCCCGTTTTTAGACAGGTGATTTGAAGTGCACTAACACTGTGCAGACCGCTAAAATGTGATTGTATTTCAAAATAAGCATTTTCTTGGCACGGAAGTAGCACTACGAGGTTTCTGGACAGCTATTTCAGCAACCAACGTTGACTTAATATTTGCCTTTAGTGTCATTTTAAACAGATATATGATGGTAGCATCAATGAGTGAAAAAGCAGTACTATATTAAAGAGAAAAGCTGAAAAGAAAATGTCTCATCACCATGTCGACTGGTGAACAGTCTTCTCACTTATCGCACACAGGACTGGCATGAATTAATGACAGAAGCATCAATTTTTCGTGCTCAAACATTTTTGCAGAATACATTTAAAAAGTGTGCCACAAATATGGATTTCTTGAAGCTCCTCAAAAACTGTGCTTGTTCAGTGGCTGCATAAAATTGTGCACTGAGCAACCAAACAGGACATTTATTCATTGCACAAAAAAAAAAAAAAAACATGACACCAGAACAGCAGGCATTTTCCCCCAAAACAAAAGAATTGCTGCACCTCATTGCACAGACCTATAATTTGAGAAAAATACTGTGGTGCACATTTGGGGAAAAAAATGAAACAAGTACTCCCCACAAGATTTAAGATTCACAGTTCACACACACACATATTTCATACTATACTGCAGCAGAAGTAGAGACAGAAGGCAGCTTTGGATGAAAGTATGGTCTTGCTTTCATCCAAGGCATCCACGCATTATATTTTCTTTTATACGGGCATTCTGATGTGAGCGGCAGCACATGCCATTACATCAAGTCACATTCTCACTTACGAAAAATTAACTATGCACTTCATTTGAGCCAAACTGCAGTAAAAACTTTGCAAAATAAACAGACTGACCTTTGTAGTAGTGCATGAGCATGAGGACCTCATATACCCCTCCACCAACATGGTTGATAACCGAATCTACAAAGCCAATTATGTTCTTGTGGCCACTCAAATTACTCTGTAAAAAGAGAAAACAAGTGTTTAGTTGAAACCGATTGATTAGGTTTTAACATTCCAAAGTAACACAATGGCTGTGACACCATTACGGAAGGCCATAATTAATGCCGCAAAACTTGGGTTCTCCAGTAGGTGCAGCTAAGTGCATTAGCATTCAGCTAACATAAAAAACATGGTGATCACAACAAGGTGTAGAACTCCGAGTTTAGAGGAAGCAGGGTGCAACACCACACAAACGAAGCCATACCAGTGAAAAACTGATCACAATAAAGAAAAGCACAGCTTGCATAGGATTTATGATGTCTACCCTTGAGTGGTAGTTGTTCTTCTATAGTGCAATAGCCAATTTCTGACCTATTGGCACATTACAAGGCTTTAAATTATAATGGTATTCAATGGCCATGTAGTGATGCACATTTTACATACTTCTGATAAGAAAGTTACACAAAATTAATGATGAATACAGGTTACCGATTCAATAAAAATAATTAGATGACCTGTTTGTTACTGTCACTGTTCTTCGAAAGTAGTTTGTGATCAACATCGAGTCATCTGAATGATGGCTTGTAAGAAGTTTTCGCACTTCGGCATTATATGTAGGTAAGCCTTATTACCCCACTCAAGGTATTAAAACAAACATGCCTTGAAATTTTCGTTGCATCAACTCCTCAGCAGATTGATTGATTGATTTGTGGGGTTTAACGTCCCAAAACCACCATTTGATTATGAGAGACGCCGTAGTGGAGGGCTCCAGAAATTTCGACCACCTGGGGTTCTTTAACGTGCACCCAAATCTGAGCACACGGGCCTACAACATTTCCGCCTCCATCGGAAATGCAGCCGCCACAGCCGGGATTTGATCCCGCGACCTGCGGGTCAGCAGCCGAGTACCTTAGCCACTAGACCACCGTGGCGGGGCCAACTTCTCAGCAGATCGGGCCATCAATTCATGGTTATAATGCATTGATGATGATGATATGTGGTGTTTATTGACGCAAGAAAGAGCCATGTGATGGCCAAAGAGCGCCAGTACATGATACAGAAGATGTGGGCAATGGGTGTGATGACTGGCTGTAGAGAGGCCTAAAATTCCTCGTGCTAACGGTGACTATAACATAGAGGTGTGAAAATCACGAGAATGACATGTGTAATGATGAATGTAGCAGGTCATGCATAGCTCGGCAAACACATCGTCAGTGCTAAGGACAAGAAGCTCATCTAGGACGTCGCTGTTTTCGCTGGCTAAGCCTACGCTCCTACCTGGTCTCAAATAATAGTTCTGACTGTCTCAGTTCTTTATTACATTTGGTGGAGTTTGCTGGGTCTCCTCGCAATCCTGGAGTAGCGAAGCCGAACTCGACCTGCCGCTATGACCCCTGCATCTGCCATAAGCCCTCCGCCTATGGCTCCCCAGGCCATCGTGTGCTCCGGCGCGGTTCGTCAGTGGGACCCTCCCATATTCAGCGGCACTGACGATCACAACGTCGACGACTGGCTGGCTACTTACGAACTCGTAAGTGTCTTGAACAAATGGGACGAAGCCACGAGACTGGCCGCCGTCGGCATTTACCTGTGGATGTGTGCGTGTGTGAGTGATCGTGTCAAGTTTTCGCGCTCGAATTAACTTTTCGAAATGCTCTACCAACTCGCCCAAAATCAAGTTCTTTTACAAAGACAGAGGTGGACCGCATCAAGCATATTTTTAAGGGTATGGACGAGGACGCATTCCAGATGCTCATTTCAAAAAGCCCGGTTACTGTCGCTCAAGTTACCGAGCTCTGCCAAAGCTATGATGAGCTCCGCAGGCAACGTCTCGTCACCCGCCGTGCTGTCCCACATCAAGAATTGATGTCCGGCTTAACTCCCTCGCAAGATCCCGTCCTCCTCTCGCAGATAAAAGATTTTGTGCGCGAAGAAGTTGCCCGCCAACTGTCGCTCATCTCCGGCCTACCGGAGCGCAGTACGCCGCTTATTACTACACTACGGACTATTATACAAGACCGAGTGTCTGAGGTCCTTCCTCCGCAGCTGGTGCCACCAGTCAATGCACCATTGATGTATGCCGAAGCATCAGCACATCCCCGACCACAGACGTTCCGAGCGCTGCCTCCACTGCCTGCACCTGTTTATGCCACCCAGCCGCCACGACCTTCAGTCCACCGAGTTCCTAATCCATGGCGCACTGCCGACAAACGACCGATCTGCTTTTCGGTTGGTCTACCCGGACGTGTTGCACGTTTGTGCCGCCGCCGCCCACTTCATTCACATGAATACCCACGTTCATACAAGTACGACCACACGTTTCCCAACACTCCAGACTCCGAACTGCACCCTCCTCAACCAAGCCACCGACCACCTTCTTATCGCCGATTTCATTCTCCACGTCGTCGCTCGCCCTCCCCAATACGCCGACGCCCCCCTACAACCGACACGGAAAACTAAATGACGCAGTTCTCGAGGCAAGAACTGCGTCCTCGTCGCAAAACGCAAGCCCTCTTGGTTCACAGCCAAATGTAATTAATGCCGTTCAAAAAGGTACTTGCCCTTATTGATACTGGTGCCGCCATTTCTGTCATTGCCGAAAAAGTTTGCCATGCAATTCAAAAAGTGACAACGCCTTACTTGGGTTCGTTTCTTTATACTGCCACTGCACAGCCTGTGCAACCTGTGGTGACATGTACCCCCAGACTTATAATTCAAGGAGTGCCCTACACAGTGCAGTTCGTAGTACTCCCGCACTGTTCTCACGACATCATTTTAGGCTGGGATTTTCTCTCCTATCCCCAAGCAGTCATTGAATGCGCCTGTGCCGAAGTCATCTTTTGTCCTCTTGGTGATGCTTTACCTGCGGACGATCGCCCTTCCTGTAGTTCCGATGTTGATCATTAGTGACGACACTCAGATCCTTCCACACGCTACTGTCTTCACACCTGTGTCGTGTTCCGCCGTCGTCGACGCTACCGCATTCTTCACGCCTTCTACTGCTTTCGTTCATCGCCACCTATCACCGCTCCCAACCGCTCTCGTTACTCTTCAAGGTGGTGCAACCAACGTGCCTGCGGGGAATCCGTTCCCATTCACGATTACGCTGCATCGGGGCGAATGTATCGGCTCAATCGAATCATTCGAAACCATCGCTACACTTGGCGTTCTTGATGGATCATCGGAAGTTGGCACTCTCTCTGAAGTCGGCGCCCTCTCCTGTAGTTCCATGAATGGCCCTTCTACTGCCGACATTTTCAACCGTATAATAAACGAAGGTCTAAACCCACAATACAGGTGTGAGCTTTTGAGCCTCCTTGACAAGTTTCGGCCATCTTTTGACAGTCACAGCACTACCTTAGGTCGAACACCTACTGTATGCCACCAGATCGACACAGGTAATAACCCCACCACTACGGCAGCGACCGTACCGTGTTTCACTGACTGAACGCCGTGTCATCGATGAACAAGTAGGTGACATGCTAAAGCGCGGTGTCGTTCAACTATCAAACAGTCCTTGGGTGTCGCCGGTTGTTTTAGTTAAAAAGAAGAATGACATGATACACTTTTGCATAGATTATCGTCGTCTAAACAAAATAACACGAAAGGATGTTTATCCTTTGCCTCGGATCGATGACGCCCTCGACTCTTTACAAGGCGCAGAGTTCTTTTCCTCCCCTTGATCTAGGCTCTGGGTATTGGCAAGTGCCCATGAATCCAGATGATAGGCCAAAAACTGCCTTTATTACACCAGACGGCTTATACGAATTTAACGTGATGCCATTTGGCCTTTGCAATGCGCCGGCAACATTTGAGCGCATGATGGACACTATCCTACGAGGCCTCAAATGGAACACGTGTTTGTGCTGCTTAGATGATGTGGTAGTAATCTCGCCCGATTTTCCCACAACCTTCGTCGCTTGGAACAGGTTCTACGCTGCCTTTCTACAGCTGACCTCCAACTAAACTTGAAGTGTCACTTTGAAGCATGCAAGCTGACCATTCTCGGAAACGTCGTGTTGAAGGATGGCATTTGCTCTGACCTCGCTAAGCTACGTGCTGTTAGCGAGTTCCCGAGGCCCGCGTCTCTCAAGGAGCTGCGTAGTTTCATTGGGCTTTGCTCATACTTCCGCCGCTTCGTCCGGGATTTGGCCTCGATCATGGCACCTTTGACAGACCTACTTCAGGAAGACCGCAATCTATCAGCATGGTCTCCAGCCTGTGACAGTGCTTTTGCGAAGCTTCATGAACTGCTTACAACACCACCCATACTGCGACATTTCAAGCGCTCCCACAGAAATCCACACGGATGCTAGCGTTGTCGGTCTTGGCGCTGTACTCGCCCAACGAAAGCTTGGTTACCAAGAATATGTTGTTGCGTACGCGAGCCGCACTCTTAGAAGAACAGAAGCAAATTATTCGGTAACTGAGAAAGAATGCTTAACGATCATCTGGGCCATTACAAAATTTCGGCCTTATCTGAACGGCCACCCTTTCGATGTTACCGATCACCACGCACTCTGCTGGTTATCCTCCCTCAAAGATTCTTCCGGACGCTTGGCACGATGGGCTTTACGGCTCCAAGAGTACGACATCCGTGTCATTTATCGCTCAGGTCAAAAGCATGCCGATGCAGACGCTCTCTCGCATTCACCTGTTTCTACTGATATTGCGAGTGTCTCCATCTAAGACAACTTACTTCCACTATCAGAACCCATCGAAATGGCTGCGGAGCAGCGCAAAGATTTGTGGATTGCCTCTCTGATAGATTACCTATCAGAAACACTCGCCCACCCGCCATCTCGAGCGCTACACCGGCAAGCCTCTCACTTTGTCATCCGTGATGGAATACTTTATCGCCGGAACTACCACCCTGGTGGCCGCAAATGGCTACTCGTCATACCCAGGCATCTCCGTGGTAGCATATGTGCTGTATTCCATGCCGATCCACACGCCGGTTTGTTTAAAACCTACACCAGGGTACGTTTTCGGTTTTATTGGCGTGACATGTACACATTC